GATCTCCCAAGCGAAATGCTGAGGGAGGGTGGCGTTTGTGCACAGACTGCCCTATATGACATCATAACAACAGTCTGGACCACTGGACGGGTTCCGCAGGATTGGAAGGATGCCCTGGTGGTCCCCCTTTTTAAGAAGGGGGTCCGCACAGACTGTAACAACTACAGGGGCATCTCACTCCTCAGTGTGCCGGGAAAGGTCCTGGCAAGGATTATTCAGCATCGCCTTGCCAGGCACGCTGAGGAGAGGCTTGCGGAGCCCCAATGCGGTTTCAGGAAAGGGCGGTCCTGCACAGATGCCATATTTTCTGTCCGTCTGCTACAGCAGAGGTGTAGGGAATTCCAACAAGACCTACATCTCTGCTTTATTGACCTGGTCAAGGCCTATGATACCATCAGTAGGCCTGGGCTCTGGGTCGTTCTTCGTGCTTTTGGAGTACCTGACCCTCTGCTCACGATCATTAAGGACCTTCATGATGGTGAGCGGGCCCGGGTAAAACTACGTGGCCGGGAGTCAGAGCCATTCCCTGTACACCTTGGGGTGCGACAGGGATGTCCTCTGGCTCCCACATTATTTAACATCTATTTTGACCACGTAGTTTGTGAAGCCTTCAATAGCTGTACCGGGGGAATCTCCATATGGTACAGATATAATGGGAGGCTAATCGATGCCCGGGTGCGGTCAAGGGATGGCTCCCTATTGCTCAACCACGTTATGTATGCTGATGACTTGGTAATAGCTGCTCAGTCAGAGGGGGAGTTGGAGACGCTGCTGCTGAGACTGGAGCGTGCCACTACCATCAGCCCCACCAAAACTAAGCACCTGCCTGGGTATTTTGTACCATCGGACACTCCACCCCCACAACTCCCAATCGGTGATGGGGCAGTTGTGTAGAGAGTGGAGAGTTTCTCATACCTGGGCAGTGTGCTTATGACTGGCTCCAGTTTAACAGCAGAGGTCTCACTCCGAATCAGTCGAGCGGCAATATCTTTTCATCGGTTGCGTAACGCTGTGTGGAAGCTACCTGGTCTGTCGCTCCGCACTAAGCTTCAGGTCTTCTCGGCCACGGTCATTCCCTCCCTTCTCTACGCTTGCGAAACGTGGACCCCCCTAATGGAACATCTTCGCCAGTTAGAAACATTTAGGCTGGCCTGCCTACGATCCATCCTGGGTTTAACCAGACTGGATTGTGTGAGGAGCTCACAAATCCTTGAAAGATCTGGGCAGGGTCCCATCGGTGAGCTCCTCCGGCAGGCAAGGCTGCGATGGCTGGGTCATGTAGCCCGCATGCCCAGCCACCGCATGCCGAAACAGCTTTTGTTTGGCCAGATTGAGGGGGCTAAGCGGGCGCGGCACGGGCTAGAGAAGAGATGGAGTGATGTGGTACAGGAGGACGTGGAGCTGAGTGGACTTGCCGATGACTGGTACCAGCGGTGTCAAGATCGGCCTCTGTGGAGGAGGCTCGTGAAGGATGCTACTGGGCAGTTGGAGGCAGTCGCCCTCCAACAACAACGGAGGGCGGAGGAGCGACGCTCACAACAGCGAGCGGAGCGCCGGGTGGCTAAAGCACACCAGGTTGGCACAGTAGGGGGCACAGGTGGTGCATCAGCCAGTCATCTCAGTCAGTCGACCCGTGGCACCTGGGTCTGCCCCGTGACCACCTGCCAGCGGGCGTTCGACACTTCACGTGGCCTCAGGTTGCACATAGCCTGGCACAAGCGTCGTGGTGACGTCACCGCCACTTAGTGGCGAATGGCGGTTGTTGTTGTTGTTGTGCGCGTGTTCATTAGTGGGGAGCGGTGGTGCCGCGGTTAGCGCTACGCCGCGCTACGAACCCGGCGACACGGGTTCGATTCCCCGCTCGCGGCCAACACCGGCGACGGCTATCTGAACCGGTCCCGGGCCTCCCCTAGGTCGACTCGGCCCCGAATGAGTAACCCGGTGGCGGTGCGCGTAGGTAAACATCGCCGGCACTGGGGGAGACAAAGGCGGCCGGGCGTGGTGCCGGCCGCCTTTGTCTCCCTCGCGTGTGCCGTGCCGGCCTTCGTAGGTGCCGCTCGCTAGCAGCACTTGCCCCGGCGGCCTGTTGAAGGCTTTACGGGGAATCTTTGTCTTTGTGCGAGTGTTTGTTGAACTTGTTGCGGGAGCGGTGGTGCAGGGGTTCAGCAGCTCCACCAACTCTCTCTCTGCTGCTGAAGTCCTCTCGCCCGGGGTGTGGCGATGGTCGTGGTGGTGGTGGTGGTGATCGTGGTGGTGATTGTGGTGGTGATTGTGGTGGTGATTGTGGTGGTGATGGTGGCGGTGATGGTGGCGGTGATGGTGGCGGTGGTGATTCGTGGTGGTGATGGTGGTGGTGATCGTGGCGGTGATCGTGGTGGTGATTGTGGCGGTGATTGTGGCAGTAATTGTGGCGGTGATTGTGGTGCTGATTGTGGTGGTGAACGTGGTGGTGATCGTGGTGGTGAACGTGATGGTGATTGTGGTGGTGATCGTGGCGGTGATGGTGGCGGTGATGGTGGTGGTGATCGTGGTGCTGATCGTGGTGGTGATCGTTGCGGTGATTCGTGGTGGGAGCACTGCGCTATGAACCCGGCGTCCCGAGTTCGATTCCCGCTCACGGCCTTCGTAGATGTTTCTGCTGCTGCTGCTGCTGCTCGCTGCTCTTGCCCCCACCACTCTGTTGAGCCTATCCGGAGGGTCTTTGTCTTTGTAGCTGCGGCCGCCTCCGTTGCTGCCCCGCCGGTGCCGGCGGTGCCGGCGGTGCCGGCGGTGCCGGCGGCGGACTGCGACCCCCGGGAGTTTGGGCCGAAGCTGCCTCCGGCATTCCACGGCACAGGCCAAGCCAGCCACAGCGGTACGTGAGTTTATGTGTTTTATGTGTTGTGTGTTTTATGTGTTGTGTGTTTATGTGTTGTGTGTTTATGTGTTTATGTGTTGTGTGTTTATGTGTTGTGTGTTTATGTGTTGTGTGTTGTGTGTTTGTGTTTTATGTGTTTTATGTGTTTGTGTGTTTGTGTGTTTGTGTTTTATGTGTTTGTGTGTTTGTGTTTTATGTGTTTGTGTGTTTGTGTTTTATGTGTTGTGTGTTTGTGTTTATGTGTTGTGTGTTTACATGTGTGTTTTATGTGCTGTGTGTTATGTGTTTATGTGTGTTGTGTTGTGTGTTTATGTGTTGTGTGTTTGTGTTTTATGTGTTGTGTGTTGTGTGTTTATGTGTTGTGTGTTTACGTGTTGTGTGTTTTGTTTTATGTGTTTGTGTTGTGTGTTTACGTGTGTTGTGTTTATGTGTTGTGTGTTTTATGTCTTTTGTGTTCATGTGTTTGTGTGTTTATGTGTTGTGTGTTTATGTGTTGTGTGTTTATGTGTTGTGTGTTCACGTGTTGTGTGTTTGTGTTGTGTGTTTATGTGTTTACGTGTTGTATGTTTACGTGTTGTGTGTTTATGTGTTGTGTGTTTATGTGTTTGTGTTTACGTGATTTATGTTTGTGTGTTTATGTTTATGTGTTTATGTGTATGTGTTTATGTGTTTTTTGTGTGTGAGGAGCGATAGTGTAGCGGTTAGCGCTACGCTGCGCTATGAACCCGGCAACCCGGGTTCGATTCCCGCTCACGGCCAACACCGGTGACGATTATCTGAACCGGTCCTGGGCCTCCCCTAGGTCGACTCAGCCTCAAATGAGTACCTGGTGCGGTGTGTAAATATCGCCACTGGGGAGACAAAGGCGGTCGGGCGTGGTGCTGGCCACCCACCCCCTCGTGTACCGTTCCGGCCTTCATAGGTGCTGCTCGCTAACAGCACTTGCCCCTACAGTCTGTTAAGGCTATACGGGGGAACTTTGTGTTTATGTGTTTGTTTGTGTGTTTATGTGTTTGTTTGTGTGTTTATATATTTGTGTGTTTATGTGTTTGTGTGTTTATGTATTTGTGTGTATGTGTGTTTATGTATTTGTGTGTTTGTGCATTTGTGCATTTGTGTGCTTGTGTGTGTATGTATTTGTGTGTTTATGTAATTGTGTTTGTGTGTGTTTGTGTGTTTATGTATTTTTGTGTTTGTGTGCTTATGTATGTGTGTGTTTGTGTGTTTATGTATTTGTGTGTTTGTGTATTTGCGTGTATGTATTTGTGTTTGTGCATTTGTGTGTTTGTGTGTTTGTGTATTTGTGTGTTTATATTTTTGTGTTTTATGTTTTTGTGTGTTTATGTTTTTGTGTTTTATGTTCACAGAAAAGCCGACAGCTCCACCACCAGAGGTGAGGAAGTGGAGGGAGAAGCACAAAGAGAGACACACGCACAGGAAGATCAACAAGGTGAGAGGGGGGGCGGTGGTGGTGGAGGTGGTGGTGGTGGTGGCGGTGGTGGTGGTGGCAGTGGTGGTGATGGCAGTGGTGATGGTGGTGGTGGCGGTGGTGATGGTGATGGTGGTGGTGGTGATGGCGGTGGTGATGGTGGTGGTTGTGTTGGTGGTTGTGGTGGCGGTGGCGGTGCTGGTGGTGGCGGTGGTAATGGTGGTGGTGGTGGCGGTGATGGTGGTGGTGGTGGTGGAGGTGGTGGTGGTGGTGGCGGTGGTGATGGTGGTGGTGATGGTGGTGGTGGCGGTGATGGTGGTGGTGGTGGTGGAGGTGGTGATGGTGGTGGTGGTGGCGGTGGTGATGGTGGCGGTGGTGGTGGTGGCGGTGGTGGCGGTGGCGGCGGTGGCGGTGATGGCGGTGGTGGTGGTGGCGGTGATGATAGCGGTGGTAGAAGTGGAGATGATGGTGGTGGTGGTGTTGGTGGCGGTAGTGGCGGTGGTGGTGGTGGCGGCGGTGATGGTGGTGGTGGCGGTCTTGGTGGTGGTGGTGGCAGTGGTGGTGGATTCCTCGTTGACATCACCGCCGTGATCGTCGTCGCCGTGGTTAACGGGCGCTCTCACCGCGGCCCGGTCCCAACGCTCAGAGCAAGAAGAAGCTGAAGAAGAAGCTGAAGAAGAAGAAGAAGCGGAAGCAGAAGAAGAAGCAGCGGCAGCAGGAGGATGAGGAGGAGAGGAGGAGGAGGAAGAGGAGGAAGAGGAGGAAGCAGCAGCGGCAGGAGGGGCAGGGGAACGAACGTGCCGGGCGCGGTTCGGTGGGGAGGCGGTCGGGAGGGGCGGCACCGATGGCCGCCGACGGCACCAGCACCACCACCAGCAGCTCCGGCAGCAGCTCCGGCAGCAGCTCCGGCAGCAGCTCCGGCAGCAGCTCCGGTAGCGGCAGCGGCGGCGACGATGGCGGCGGGAGCGTGGAAGGGAGCCGTGACCGGGACATCCTGAAACGGTGACGGCAACGGCGCTCCGTGGGGGGAGGGGGAGGGGAGGGGGAGTCTGTTTGGTGTTTGAACATCGTGACTGTAACCACCACGTGACGTGACACCACGTGACACCACGTGACAACAACGTGACACCACGTGACACCACGTGACACCACGTGACGTGACACCACGTGACACCACGTGACAGCACGTGACACCACGTGACACCACGTGACAGCACGTGACACCACGTGACGTGACACCACGTGACAGCACGTGACACCACGTGACGTGACACCACGTGACGTGACACCACGTGACGTGACACCACGTGACACAATGTGACACAACGTGACGTGACACCACGTGACACCACGTGACACCACGTGACAACACGTGACACCACGTGACAACACGTGACACCACGTGACACCACGTGACACCACGTGACAACAACGTGACACCACGTGACAACACGTGACACAAACCGCCCTCTCATTCCCCTTTGTGTTCCATTCTTGCCCGCTGCAGGATCCGAAGGCTCCCCTCGCTACACGGGAGGTGACGGAGCGGTCCGACTCACCACCACCACCACCTCCACCACCTCCACCACCGCCACCACCACCACCACCACCGCCACCACCGCCACCACCACCGCCATCACCACCGCCACCACCACCACCGCCGCCACCACCACCGCCATCACCACCACCACCACCACCACCGCCACCACCGCCACCACCGCCTCCCGGCCGTGAGAGAATGCGTTTGCGGGGTCCATGCGCAGGCATGGGGTTGTTGTTTTGTCGCCCAATTGTTTTTTTTAGTACCGTGCGGATATTTGGTGTTTTTGTTGTTAATAAAGTTGCCTTCCGTTCCCTGGCTGCCACTCCGTTTTCAGTCTCGACCATCCCCCATAGACTTAGCACATCACACAGAGACCCATAGACTCACCACGTAGCCAATAACTCACCACGCAGAGACCCATGGACTCAACACACAGAGACCCATAGACTCTCCACACACAGACCCATAGACTCAACACACAGAGACCCATAGACTCACCACACACAGACCCGTAGACTCACCACACAGAGACCCATAGACTCACCACACAGATACCCATAGACTCACCACACAGATACCCATAGACACATCACACAGAGACCCATAGACTCATCACACAGAGACCCATAGACTCACCACACACAGACCCGTAGACTCACCACACAGAAACCCATAGACTCACCACACAGATACCCATAGACTCACCACACAGAGACCCATAGACTCACCACACAGAGACCCATAGACTCACCACACAGAGACCCATAGACTCACCACACATACCCATAGACTCACCACACAGAGACCCATAGACTCACCACACATATATCCATAGACTCACCACACAGAGACCCATAGACTCACCACACAGAGACCCATAGACTCATCACACAGAGACCTATAGAACTCATCACACAGAGCCATAGACTCACACAGAGACCCATAGACTCATCACACAGAGACCCATAGACTCATCACACAGAGACCCATAGACTCATCACACAGCCATAGATTCACGCAGAGACCCATAGACTCATCACACAGAGACCCATAGACTCATCACACAGGAAACCTATAAACTCACACAAAGACCCATAGACCCATCACACAGAGACCCATAGACCCATCACACAGAGACCCATAGACTCATCACACAGAGACCCATAGACTCACCACACAGAAACCCATAGACTCACTACACAGGGACCCATAGACTCACTACACAGAGACCCATAGACTCATCACACAGAGACCCATAGACTCATCACACAGAGCCATAGACTCACACAGAGACCCATAGACTCACCACACAGAGACCCATAGACTCATCACATACTTATTTCCCTCATTAAAATGCAAATCAATTCATAACATTTTTGACATGCGTTTTTCTGGATTTTTTTGTTGTTGTTCTGTCTCTCACTGTTCAAATAAACCTACCGTTAAAATTATAGACTGATCATTTCTTCGTCAGTGGGCAAACGTACAACATCAGCGGGGGATCAAATACTTTTTTCCCTCGCTCTACCTACGGTGGTGGCTTTACCGAAAGAACCAAAGCGTATGAGACCAACAAAACTTACGCGTCACATGAGACATCCCACCCCTGCCTAAAAGAAACAAAAAAATATCACGGTATTATTTTACCATGGAAAGGCCCACGTGAGCTATACCAGCTCTTTATCAGAATCTACCTGGGTCACAAACGATAGCTCAACGTGAGTGGCTTACCACGTGGCAGCTTGCCATCTTTTCACAAACGATAGCTCAACGTGAGTGGCTTACCACGTGGTAGCTTGCCATCTTTTCCCACCTCCATTAATTAAGCCATCAGATTTACCATGGAGGTGGAAAAAGATGGCAAGCTACCCTTTTTGGATGTCTTAATTAAAAGGAGACCTGATGGCTCAATGAGCCACTCTATCTACAGGAAAGCTACCCATACAGATGCTTACTTGAAACCGGATTCCCACCAACATCCATCCCAGAAGAACTCCCTCATCAAGACTCTATACCATAGAGCCCAATGCATTTCCAACCAGGAACACATTACCAGTGAACTCAAGCACGTACACCAGGCTCTCAGGGCTAATGGTTACTCCGACTACACAATCCACAAAGCCATCACTCCAGTCATGAAGAAGGATCCTCTTGTGGAGCCACTCAAAACCATCACCTTACCCTACATTGCAGGGGTCACTAAAAAGATCTCCAAAATCCTGAATAAACACAAGATCCAGGTCCGATTCAACACAGTACATAAAATCCGTGATCTGGTTCCATCTGTAAAAGATGCTGTTCCTGACATACAGTACCTGGGCGTTTACAAACTAAAGTGCCTTTGTGGTAGTAGCTACATTGGAGAAACCTAACGACATATCTCGGACCGCATCCGCGAACATAAAGCAGACTTGAAACACGGTAGGACGAACTCCTCGGCCGTGGCAGATCACTGTTATAATTCAGTGGGCTCACATGACATTGACTTCTCCAAGACGGAGGTTCTTTGCAAGCCAACCGGCTACCATGATAGATTCGTTCATGAGGCTATCCACAAATACAAGCACAGAGACATTTTCAACCGAGAAGATGGATTATGGCTCAGTAACCATTGGAAAGATGTTTTAAACCATTTCCGTTCTTAATTAATTGTATTTTACGATGACCTTCAGACCGCAGCTCTTTCGCTGGCATTGACTCTTAATACCTCTCACACCACGGTTAATGGTATGGTTTACAACATGGAGTATAACAGCGCCTCGCAGCTGTCTCTCTACCCCTCCTCTGTTCCGACCATGGATGAACTCGTCCGTCTGAACGGGGCCCGTAGCTATCCGTGTTGCTAAAGTTGAGGGCAAGAATCCACCCATTTTTTCGCCATATAGCATTGTGATATATAACGACTTATTGTTGGTAGCTTGGCTGATTGGAGAATATAGAGTTTATTGATAGCATTAAGGTAATTTATATTTTAGTTTTTTTATTGGTTCACTATATAGTATTCATTATATATTGTATTGTATACCCAGTTACTGTGAATAGCTCAGATGTGTAGGCCTTGACTTCAACATAGCCATTTCTGTGACCAGTCACTAGCTAATCACTCAGTTATTTCAATGCTAAATTCGCCTAGTTATTTCAATGCTAAATTCTCCTGTTTGATTTGTACTAGGTGTCTCGGTGAATGTGTATGCTCTGACTTTAACATAGCTATTTCTGTGACCAGTTACAAGCTAATCACTCGGCTATTTCAATGCTAAATTCTATGCTAATTTCTTTGTCAAGGGGTGCCTCTGCGGATGTGTATGCTTTAACTTAGCTATTTCAATGCTAAATTCTATGCTAATTCCTTTGTCAAGGGGTGCCTCTGCGGATGTGTATGCTTTAACTTTAACATAGCCATTTCTGTGACCAGTCACAAGCTAATCACTCAGCCATTTCAATGCTAAATTATATGCTAATTCCTTTGTCAAGGCCCTTTGTTTATTCTCACACAGCTTAAAGGTCGTGATCTGAGCGTGGCTTTTTCACTCCAGCGCTGTCCTACCAGACAGTCTCGTCCCTTCACCTGATGAAGGCCGCTTGTGTTGTGGCCAAAACGTCGTGAGAATATTATTGTGTTATTTTATTTTATCAATTTATTATTTTATTCTCATTCTACGTGACTTTACCGAAAGAACCAAAGAAGATGAATCATTGCAGTCACGAAAGCTTTAAATCGAAATTTAATCTCCATCCGTTCCATCTCACTCCCTTCAACCTCGTGAGTGGAACTAATCTCCATCTGTTCCATCTCACTCCCTTCTACCTCGTGGGTGAACTAATCTCCATCTGTTCCATCTCACTCCCTTCTACCTCGTGGGTGGAACTAATCTCCATCTGTTCCATCTCGCTCCCTTCTACACCGTGGGTGGACTAATCTCCATCTGTTCCATCTCAGTCCCTTCTACCTCGTGGGTGGAACTAATCTCCATCTGTTCCATCTCACTCCCTTCTACCTCATGGGTGGACTAATCTCCATCTGTTACATCTCACTCTCTTCTACCTCATGGGTGGACAAATCTCCATCTGTTCCATCTTGCTCCCTTCTACCTCGTGGGTGGAACTAATCTCCATCTGTTCCATCTCGCTCCCTTCTACACCGTGGGTGGACTAATCTCCATCTGTTCCACACTCGCTCCCTTCTACCTCGTGGGTGGAACTAATCTCCATCCGTTCCATCTCACTCCCTTCTACACATTGGGTGGAACTAATCTCCATCCGTTCCATCTCACTCCCTTCTACCTCGTGGGTAGAACTAATCTCCATCTGTTCCATCTCGCTCCCTTCTACCTCATGGGTGGACTAATCTCCATCTGTTCCATCTCACTCCCTTCTACACATTGGGTGGAACTAATCTCCATCTGTTCCACACTCACTCCCTTCTACACCGTGGGTGGAACTAATCTCCATCTGTTCCATCTCACTCCCTTCTACACCCTGGGTGGACTAATCTCCATCTGTTCCATCTCACTCCCTTCTACACCGTGGGTGGACTAATCTCCATCTGTTCCACACTCGCTCCCTTCTACACCGTGTGTGGACTAATCTCCATCTGTTCCATCTTGCTCCCTTCTACACCGTGGGTGGAACTAATCTCCATCTGTTCCATCTCACTCCTGTCTACCTCGTGGGTGGAACTAATCTCCATCCGTTCCATCTCACTACCTTCTACACCGTGGGTTGACTAATCTCCATCTGTTCCATCTCACTCCCTTCTACCTCGTGGGTGGAACTAATCTCCATCTGTTCCATCTCACTCCCTTCTACCTCATGGGTGGACTGATCTCCATCTGTTCCATCTCGCTCCCTTCTACACCGTGTGTGGACTGATCTCCATCTGTTCCATCTCGCTCCCTTCTACACCGTGTGTGGACTAATCTCCATCTGTTCCATCTCGCTTCCTTCTACACCGTGTGTGGACTAATCTCCATCTGTTCCATCTCGCTCCCTTCTACACCCTGGGTGGACTAATCTCCATCTGTTACATCTCGCTCCCTTCTACCTCATGGGTGGAACTAATCTCCATCTGTTCCACACTCGCTCCCTTCTACACCGTGAGTGGGACTAATCTCCATCCGTTCCATCTCACTCCATTCTACCTCGTGGGTGGACTAATCTCCATCTGTTCCATCTCACTCCCTTCTACCTCGTGGGTGGAACTAATCTCCATCCGTTCCATCTCGCTCCCTTCTACACCGTGGGTGGAACTAATCTCCATCTGTTCCATCTCACTCCCTTCTACCTCATGGGTGGAACTAATCTCCATCTGTTCC